ATGCCACAGTCCAGGTGTTAGTCCCCTTGAAACAACTTTTCCATCCCTATTGTGGCCAGAAAGAGTCCCTGTGTGTTTTAAAATTCGCCTGCCCATTGAAGTCTATGGCCGTTCGCCCGGTTTGCCGGTTCGCGAACATTTGCGGAAGTTCGCGTTCGCCGTTCGCGAACCGAAAATTTCGTGTTCGCGACATCACTACTGAAGATAAGAAGAAAGAAGAAGAAAATGGCAACGAGATTATCTTCATATGACAGACAGAAAATAAGGGGGTAACCCTAAATAGTAGAAATTCAAAAGAAAGAGATTCTGTCCCTTTGATAAAAATCTAGAAGATACTTTATTAGTATTATACAAAAGACGTTCCTAAATAGACTGCCTCTCTTGATCTAATGTGATTCTCGTGGGTGTCCAAAATTAGACATGTCCAAAAGACCACCTATAGGTGCTGAGGGCGTATATAAAGGGAGAAAAGGGGATTGTGAGGAAACATTTAACAAAAATTGGTTATACTAGTGATTGAGGATAAAGGAATATATGTACAGGTTCCAGAGTCTGCATACACTCTAGTAGTGGTAGGGTTTAGAGTAGAAAGGAGAGAGGTTATCTCCAAAAACCCCACTAAAAGCAAATGTGCGAATTGCCTCAGTGTAGATGTTGTTATCTAATAAGTGGCTAGTAGTAATAGCACAAAAGTGAAAATATTGGCATATTACAAAAATTGTTCTGCCAGAAATGTCATATTGATAATTGACCACTAGGGGTCACTATACCCATGGATAGCTTCAAGGCTGTTCACTTGATATATTTGCAAAGAAGTATCTGATGACTGTGTGAACAGAAATAGATACAGTCTATTCGTCAGAATGGTTAGCAAATAAAGTGAACAGAATGTAACCTTTTTGTCGTCTAGCAGTATAAGCATTGTCTGCTCTGTTTCTGCTATATCAAGAGGGGCTAGAGTGCACATCGAATCAAACAGTGCATTCATGCATACCCCTTCGTGAGAGCAGTATCACTACTGAAGACATCACCCTTAGAAGAATATACCTATAGCAGACCAGACTTCCCAATTATCTCTAGGATAGAAGACTCTGTGGAACTGGTTTTGGGCAGAAAAGCCATGCTTCCTTTGGTCACAAAGGACTACGATCTATCTTTTGAACCACTGGACCAATTTGTACGATTTTGACGTATGTTTGTATTTGGAGTATGCGGATTCTGTGAATGTGATGCATACTTTTAAAGTTATGAATCATGTGGAAAAACTGTATTTCTCTGTCTGTGATAATTACATTACCCATTGTGTAAGGTAATTGTTTCACAGGCAGAGGGGAGGATTTTGTGTGGGAGTGTCTGAGTGTATTGTATGTGTTTATTGGTTGTTTTCCAAAACCCTGTGGGTGGTACTAATGTATATATAAGAACAATAAACCCACAGCTCTGACTGTTCACTGCTTGACCCACAACACGGAGCTTTGTCTCGTTCTTGGGGGTATTTACTGTATGCTATTAGAGACTGATTGCCAGGAGTGTAAGCCGCTTGGGTGCTTTTCCTGTTCAGCTGCTAGCAGCTATTCGTGACGTTCCAGTTCGGGAATTTGGAGTGCTACTTGGCATCCTGTTCGGGAGTTTGGGGTTCTGCAGTAGCTGTGCCTGTGTCTCTGGAAGGGGAAGATCTCCTAAATGGCGGTTTAACCCTTTTATGCTGAGGGTGCCGTTACAAATTGATAATAGGGTGAAATTATTAGGATTTCTTCCGAACCAGGAAAATGTCGATAAACCTAGGTGGGCAGGGAAAGCGCTCAATCACACCTTTTTCTCTGATATTGCAGAGTTCCGAGTGCAAGATTGTGGTGTCCGACAGGGACATATTTAGGGGAGATGGAGGGAATTCTTGAAGTGGGTCTGATGTAAAATCTATGTGAAACCCAGACACTGCTTGAAGGATCCAATGATCTTGAGGAAGGAGAAACCACTGTGGGGAAAAAAGGATTAGACAGTCTGCAATAGGTATTCGGAAATAAGGTAAGTTTATTACCTGAAGCAGTGCGACCCCTGAGTGAAGCGGATCCACGTCCTCTGATAGATCTTCTGTTTGCAAACAGTTGTCTGTGGTTGGGGCGGTTATAGAGGGGCGAGGCTTGTAACCTGTGAAGGCGGTTCTGCCTCCGATAGGTCGGCCTCTATGGCGACCGGCCCCACCCATAAAAACGATGGGAGCGGAAATCTCTGCATAGGAATGTTTGAGTCTTGTTGAGAGAGGTAAAAACAGACATGTCTTGAGATCTCTAATGAATTGATTGCCAAACAAAAGGCCATTAGCTTCAGGGCAGAGTTCTTTTGAACTCACATCTGCCAACTTTGCGTCAATTTTATATAGGACAGCTTGGCGCCGTTCAGTGGAGATAGCTACATTGGGGTTGCCTAGCAAACATAATGCGTCCATTTGTGCACTAGATGTGGATTTAACAAGCCCTCACTTATTGCTTTATCAGCCAGTATGAAGATCTGTATTACGGGACCTGCAGTGTCAAGCAGTTTGTCCTGCACAGTTTTCAGACCTTATTCACGACCTTTGCGGGGATCCTTTCCAGATTTACTAAGTAAAGTGATGAGGAGAGGGTCAAATTCGAGCGTTTGTGCCACCTTATCAGGTATGGTTGGACGGGAGCATTCAGCCCTAAATTTATTCCATATTTCCTTCTCAAGTGGTTTGCGGAGCCACATCCTGCAAAACTGGGCTATGTGGTCTGGTGTTGCCCACTCAGCCAAGTGGGGGTGCTTAATGATCCGTGGTCAAAATATGGTTGGCCACTAGAGTCTAGTAAGGCATCTTATCAGGGTTTTTAACGGAGTGAGAGACCTGAGAAACTGGAGGCTGTGTAACAAAAGACTCCCTGACATAAGTAGCAACGTGCTGTGCATCAATGGGACATTCATCATCGGAATACCCCGCGCAGTATTTGTCCACGACCTGTAGATCATAGCGGGATGTAGAACCCTCTGGAGGATCAAATATTTGTTGGCTCGTGGAGGTATGGGACAGCCTTGGAGTTTTAGCCAGTGCCTTGCCTTTACCGGCTGAGGTACTATTGCCCTTCCAGGGAAGCTTACATGGAGCCCCTTCATGGTCGCATTCGTTGTGGGAATCCTCAGAGTCTGAGAAAGATTGGGTGGTAGGTGGTTTGGCAACAGGGTTAGACTGCTAGACTGCTTGTGAAAGGCTGCTTTGGTTTGGGGCATATACGGGAAAAAGCCAAAAGCTCAGCGGAGACAGTGAATTCTGGTTGGTCAGACATTACTGACAAAACAGTTTCATTAAAATACAGAAAAAAAAAAAAAGTACTCAGAAATAAAAAAGGGGGTCACCCTTTAAAATAATGTTTGGGGATCTCCCAAGAGGAGCATATGGGGGTTACCCAAAGATGCAATGAGAAGGGGGAGACACCCACCAGACGCATTATATAGCTAGGGTGGTGCAGAAAATACAGGGGTCACTTGTTAATAAAGGCAGTCACCCTTTAGGCAGATTAATGTTTGGATATTTAGAAGCACCAAGGAGCTAGTGACAACACTTTAAAGGGACACTATAGTCACCTGGACAACTTTAGCTTAATGAAGCAGTTTTGGTGTATAGAACATGCCCCTGCAGCCTCACTGCTCAATCCTCTGCCATTTAGGAGTTAAATCCCTTTGTTTATGAACCCTAGTCACACCTCCCTGCATGTGACTTGCACAGCCTTCCATAAACACTTCCTGTAAAGAGAGCCCTATTTAGGCTTTCTTTATTGCAAGTTCTGTTTAATTAAGATTTTCTTATCCCCTGCTATGTTAATAGCTTGCTAGAACCTGCAAGAGCCTCCTGTATGTGATTAAAGTTCAATTTAGAGATTGAGATACAATTATTTAAGGTAAATTACATCTGTTTGAAAGTGAAACCAGTTTTTTTTTTCATGCAGGCTCTGTCAATCATAGCCAGGGGAAGTGTGGCTAGGGCTGCATAAACAGAAACAAAGTGATTTAACTCCTAAATGGCAGTGAATTGAGCAGTGAAATTGCAGGGGGATGATCTATACACTAAAACTGCTTTATTTAGCTAAAGTAATTCAGATGACTATAGTGTTCCTTTAAATGTAATAGGTGATGAGCCTCGAAAAAATAATAACAATTAAACTAATTTAGAATATAATTGATGAAAGAAAAACATTGACCAAATTAAACATAAAATGCGGTTTAGCAAAAAAAAAACGTATTTGAAAAAAGGTCCAAGTTGTTTGGAAAAACATTTTAAAGGTTTGTAGATTTTGAAAGAAAGAAAAGGCCTCAATTCGAACAAACCACCGAGCCAAAATGGCTGCCAGCACTGAAATTGAGGCGGCGACCTTCACGTGTCACGGAGAGACGTAGAAAAAAAATATAAAAAGGGCGGTTAAAGTGTAAATATACTCGTGACAGCTGCGGCTCTGAACCAGAGCATAGGGAGAACTAAAATAAGCCGCGATCAGGTGAATCAGTGATAAGACTGACTGGAAAGAGACAGCTAAGTGCTGTGGGATAAAAGGAATCCTGTGGGCAAAGCGGAGAATAAACAAAAAGAAAATACCAAGAGAGTATATTTACTACCAGACAGAAAAGAGTAAACCTGCACACTATTACAATAATAATGTATATTGAACCTTGAAGGCCAGAATTGACTCACCAGGGAGGCAATATAAAAAATATAGAAATGGTGTGAGCGCTCCTGACAATAAGAGGATGTACATCAAATCATAAAAAATTAATTCCATAGTAAACTACATTCCCAATAATAACCCGATATAGTATTATTTCATCAGTTATCTCCTATAGACACACAGCTCCAAACAGATGATAATACATGGATCAAAATATGACAATAATGCCCTGAAAGTGTTAAGAATCTCAAAGCAGTTCTCCGATGGATATCTTCACAGGGGGAGCACAGCTGACTGGGACCACGTGGTATGCCGCGGCCGGTAACTTCACAAAAGGCTGCGGCAGTAAAGTCTCTCTGAAGAGACGAAACGCGTTGACTGACCTCCACATATCATTTTAGGATTACTATCAGCACCTTGACGCTGTTCCCCATTTACGGCGTACCACGTGGTCCCAATCAGCTGTGCTCCCCCTATGAAGATATCCATCGGAGAACGCCACTCTTCATCCACCTTGTTGATGTCATTGCTGCTTGGCACAGGTACCATGGGTTGAGCTCGCTGGGCTCATCACAGCACTGACTTTTCTACTAACTACACTTTTTATATTATTCAGCATCTCTTTTTTTCGTCCTACCTACGTGTCACTACACGAGCTGCTGCAGGGAGGGGGGCCACCCACCAGAGTTTCCACTGACCTTTATCTTCCAGCCCCATTCATCACACTCACTATTTTACTGCATACATTTTCTATTGTGCCTTAGTTTTAGCTTATTTTTTTTTCTTTTTATATATATCATTTTTATCTGTCCTTATAATGTCTTCTTTCATTATTCATTCTGTTTTCCTCCTATGTTGCTGTTTTATAGATTTAGTAGATGTTATATACACGCTCTACTCGGATTCTTCATGTTTGTCTCACTTTAGTTTTAGTTGTTTTTACGGCATTAAATCTTGGAGGGTGTTGTATATTTTTGAGCGTGTTTGTTTCTACCCATGGAGTTTCAGTGTCATAGTGTATAATATATTACTTTGAGATTCTTAACACTTTCAGGGCATTGTCATATTTTGATCAATTTATTGTTATCTGTTTGGAGCTGTGTGTCTATAGGAGATAACTGATGAAATAATACTATATCGGGTTATTATTGGAAATGTAGTTTACTATGGAATTAATTTTTTATTAGGATTTGATGTACATCCTCTTATTGTCAGGAGCGCTCACACCATTTCTATATTTTTTCTTTGTTCATATTAGTCACCCATATATTGTGTGTAGCTGCCCGTTTATATTCTAATATTTTAATTTTATTATTTTATATTTGACCTTTCCACTTGTTTCATCAGGGAGGCAAGCAGCAAAAAAATAAATAAAAAAAATAGAAATTGGGAGGAGTCTCACAGCCACAATATACTGATTAGATGTGTTCTGATAGGTTGATTTTTTTTATACTATTGCTTAAGGGTTTCTTTGCTGCTGGGATATTCAGTAACACAAATGTAATTGGATGACTCAAGACAAGGTGCTGCAGCAACTGAACGTTAATATAAACAAAGCTGCAGGGCCTTATGGTATTCATCCACGAGTACTTAAACTAATTCTGTAAATAAGTGAACCCGTTTTTAATCTTTAAAATTCTTTTCTTTCAGGTATTGTACCGGAGGAAGGCAGATGTGGTTCCTATATTCAAAAAGGGTTCAAAATCCTTGCATGGAAATCATAGATCTGTGAGCTTAACTTCTTTGGCTAAGAAAGCATTTGAAGGGCTATTAAGGCGTAATAATCAGGAATTCATTGGGAAGAACTTTGTTAGCAATAATCAGCATGGTTTTATGTAAAAGTGTAACGGATGCTTCCTAGAAGACACCGAGGACTATAAGCACCACACCAGACACCACAATCACCGCAGACTCCACAACTGCCGTAGCTTCACTGGAGTCTCACCGTGTGGGAGAGACCTCTTCTCCAGTAGAGCGTAACAGGAACAGCTCTTAAAAGAGCTAAGTGATTAAAACACAGGGGGAGTATACAGAGTATAGCAATCCCCAGTGTGATAATAGCAGTTCCCCTTCAATCACAAGATAAGACTACATGTTGACGGTCAAGCAGAAATTCTAGGTTTAAATGGGGCACACTGACCTTTTATACAAGTTTCACAGAAAAGGTGACACCCAGGTGGACCTAGTTGGGCACCGGGACACAAGATTAACAAGCCAATAGCCCTGATCTGGGTGAACAACATATCCAAGAATCACCCAGATCAGAGCAGGGGTTCAGGAAATTCCTGGAAGTCTCTTTTGACCGACCTCACGGATGATTTCATGCCCAAAACAGTTCCAGAGAATCAGGGCTTGCGGCCGGTCTAATTCAGTAGTTTGCAAATGAACAAACTACTGAACGGAGTCAATAGTCTTATCCTGGAGCTTGTTCCCTTCATCCAGATGAATGATCTCACCGAACAATGCCCTTCTAAGCTAAATAGAAACAAACGCAGGCGATGATGGAAGTCCAGCGGTGTTCAGGAGTTTCTGTATCAGATTTTAGTTCCTGGAGATTCATGCCCAAACACCGCTGCCTGCATTCATGTGAACAAGATGGCCGCCATCTCGTGGTTGTTCATAGAAATTGCAGCCACCCAGACGAACAATTAGAACACCGCAGTGAGAAACATTTCAAGTTGTTAATAGGGGTCAACAAGCTCCAGGGTGGTCTCTGTTCATGCGTTTGTTCAGTAAACGAACCATATAGTCCTAATTGCACGAACAGAGCCTGTTTGAAATATATTACCCAGTTCTATTGCAGAGTCACAGGGTAAAAGGCTGGCAAGTAGTCCCCTCCCAGAACTCATGGCGAAGTTGCTTTCGTCACACATAGGTCATGACAAACTTAATTACATTCTACGAAGAATTATAGATCAGGGTGTTGCAGTGGATGTGATCTACTTGGATTTTGCCAAGGCATTTGATATAGTTCCACAGAATAGGTTAGTTTTCAAACTCATTGGTCTAGATGACAATTCCTATTCTTGGGTAGAACATTGGCTTAAAAATAGAGTACAGAGAGTGGTCATTAATGGTAAATTTTCAAGCTGGACAGAGGTGGCAAGTGGTGTCCCTCAGTGGTCTGTTCTGGGACCCCTTCTATTTAACATGTTTATAAATGATTTTGAAGACAGCATTGAAAGCCATGATTCAGAGTTTGCCGATGACACAAAACTCTAAAGTAAAACCACTATCTCCCAACTCTTCATTCCTACTATTGCTTGACCCCATTTACTCCAGGCCCAAACACACTATCCCCATCACTTGTACTCCGCACACTGGAAACCAACACAAAACGTACACAAAAATCAGACTAGATGTGATGTCAATTTTAATTTTTATTTAAAAAAAAAAAAAAAAATTACAAAATGATGGCAGTGAGTGTAAGGTTGGTAAAGCATGAACAGTATAGCAATAAGTACGTTGTGGTCCCAATATTATATACAGGTTTGGGCCACATCGATATAAAATTCTGTAGGTTCTCCCTTCCATTTCATACAGTTCCACATAAAACTACAATACAAAAGGTGAAGAGCAAGCCAATGCTCACTCAGAATCAAGTTCGTCTTTCACCATCAGCCGTTTCCCTTTCTTGGGTTTAAAATCTTCGCGGCATTTGCGACATTTCACCACTCTGAAACAATTTATTTTTTTTTAAAATGGATTTTGGAAATTTTCTAGTAAAGGAAGCACGAGTACAGAGCTTTATGGATAGACAAGATTCTAACACACATTGTCACCAGTGTTGACATTCAGCCACTACAACCCTGGCAACATCCCCTTCAGCCATGCACCACAAGCCCAGTGCCTTCTGCCCCTCCTATGCAACCACACAGAGCCAACAAAGCCCTTCCCAGTGCCTTCTGCCCCTCCTATTCAACCACACCGAACCAACAAAGCCCTCCCCCACACAAGCCCAGTGCCTTCTGCCCCACCCTTTCAACCACACCAAGCAAGGCCAGTGCCTTCTGTCCCGCCCCTACAACCACACCAAGCAAGCCCAGTGCTTTTTGCCCCGCCCCTTCAACCACACCGAGCCAACAAAGCCCCCCTTCTCACACGAGCCAAGCAAGCCCAGTGCCTTCTGCCCCACCCATTCAACAACACCAAGCAAGCCCAGTGCCTTCTGCCCCGCCTTTTCAACCACACACAGCCACCAAACCCCCCCCTGCTTCCCACACGAGCCAAGCACGCCCACTGCCTTCTGTTCTGTCCTTTCAACCACATTAAGTCCAGAAAGCCTAGTGCCTTCTGCCATGCTGAATCCAGCAAGCCACAGAGACATGGTACATAGCTATACACACTCAGCCACGCAGGTACTAGGTCCATCTGATGTAAGATCTTTATATACTCACAATTTGTGCTGCTCAACCTTATCCTGAGTTTCCATAGCGTCATTAATTTTCTTCAGCATCTCATACCGCTCACGGCCTTTGATCTAAATTGAAGTGGCAATACAGAATAAAGAACATGAAATCCTGGCTCTAATATACTTATTAGAAGTGAGAAGAACAAAAGTAAAAGCTCACTGTATGCACTTCGTGTGCTCAGAGCAAATAGTGACACGAGACACTAACAAAAAAAGAAAAAAAAAATGCCATTCTACCTGTGTATGATTTGCTGAGAAGATTATAGGCTTCAAAAGTAACTTTTAATAAATAAATCTAGAATAAAAATGAAAAATAATATGAACAGCAGGAGTGAGTGGAGACTATACGGCGGCGAGTAAAACTCTGTGACTACAGCTGAAGTGGTAGAGGTTAACACAGTAAAGGAGTTTAAGCATGCGTGGGATAGGCATAAGGCTATCCTAACTATAAGATAAGACTAGGGACTAATGAAAGTATTTAGAAAATTGGGCAGACTAGATGGGCCGTATGGTTCTTATCTGCCGTCACATTCTATGTTTCTGTGTGTGGCGGAACCAACCTCGCCACTGTGCACTGGAGAAGCCTGGTTGCTCGCCTTCTCCCTTTGGACTATGGCCCTGCAGTTAACACCTGTTATTATCCCTGCTGAAAGGTTTATTATTATTTATAAAGGTTTCTGCTGGGGCGTTCAATCTACCGAACAAAGTAACGAACGATGGACCACCTGGGAACGGGAGTGTGCCGCCAATTGACCGCCCAGAAGCTGCGGTTAACCGCAGCTTAATTGATGAACGCTGGGTGGCCTTTGTTAGTCTGCCGAACACGTGGCAGCGGCCATTTTACCTCCCAAATGGCCAGCAGTGTTCAGTGCCCAAACTATGGAACTGAAAACGGACACTTATTTGCGCGAACACCGCTGAGCCGCCAGCCTCCTTACCTCTGCATTTGTTAGTGGAACCGAAACACTGTTCATTCTTTAGTTTGACCGTATTAACAGCATCACCCCAGATAGCTATGCCATGGAGCCTATTCATGTAACGAAAGACTATGGGAAAGACCTTGGCTCCATGCCGATTGAACTGTATGCATGTGATCTGAGTGACATTCGGTAGTAATGCGCGCTCAGATCTAAGCTAT